GAAAAAGAGTTTTGTGTTGAGTGGAACGATGTGCTCCGTCAGGATGAAATGACTTCATCAGTCCTCTGTCTCTGCAGGCTGCACTCTGACACGGCATCACTCAGTTTATACGACTTCATGTGATCAAAGTTTAACTCACAGCAGCTTCCTGCTGCGACTGACACACTGGAACAAACCTGAGAGCAGATAAACCTCCTTATCACTCAAACACTGTTAGTGGCTTTATTTTAACATATGAATTCACCTGCAAGGTGACTTTTAATGTTCCCTTTCTTATCAACGTGTTTGCTTTTACTGATTATTCCTCTGATGAAGCTAATGACTTCTGTATTATTCATTTGATTTTGTTGTTGGCACAAACACAAACCTTAATTTTCAGTCTTTGAATAAACATTAAAACATGTTTCCATTCTAAGAACAAGAAAGCTTGTAAAACCTTCAATTTATCCACTTACATACACTCACCACATGTATGCTTTCTGTCTTTGCAGTGTTACTGCTCGGGCCCTAAAAATGACAATACAATAGATTTTGCTGGTATCAGAATCACTTTTATTGGACAAGTGTACAAGGGATTTGATATGTCTAATAAAAATCTTCACTTCCATTATTGACTGGGTTCACAGAATATATTTTCTGAATCAAATTAATATATATAATATATATAATATTTCTGAGGTATAAACTGTGCAAAACAACTCATATTTCCTTATATTTCTTGTGATGTGAAACTGATGACTTTGTGCCTTGATATCACGATATATTTTTCATCTCACCAATTGTTGAAATGGATTACATTGAACATTTTAAGTCCAACAAACTAAATCTTTTAAGTCAAAAACATTCTTGATGAAGCAGCTTTTACTAATAACCTTAAGAGACCATGAACTGAGTTTTGTAAGTTACAGAAACATTCCTGATTAAGTATTTGTTTCCACAGTACAAATAAAAATGACAAAATTAAGTCAGTGTTAAAAATGGATCAAAAATGTTTGTTTTAACGTTCAAAAATTGAGTTACTTTTACTTTCCGATGACATCAGTTTCACCAATTGTTTGAGTTAAATGAACTTACAGTATCTGGTTTTACAATGTATTTGTATCATAATTTAACTGTCTCAAGATAAATCTTTACATTCCTAAATAAAATGCCACTCATATTTAGTTTTTGTTATTATTTCTGATCTTTATTTAACTGTGTGAATAAAATACAAAGATACAAATTACAATGAAATGCAATAAAATTGATTTTACAGATAATAATAGTGTATAATAAAATAAATAGTAAAACAATATTATTGTTAATAACTGTTAAGTAGGCTATAAATTATCCTGGACATTCAAATGAATGCATACCATTAATGTTATGTATTTAGCCTTTAGTATTGTGTTATACAGACTTTAAAGTTGTCGTTGATATTGAATGTACGTTATAAAGCTTTTATTTTGAAGCCACTCTTATTCAACTTCCTGTTTGGTTCCCGTGAGCGTGACACACCATGCGGCACAAGTGAGACGTCACTTCCGACAGATTGTTAGAGCCCGCCCCCAGAAGACGGCGCTCCGGCTTCCTATTGGTGAACACTACCTGTCAATCAAACGCACATTTAAGTGCTGTGCCGCGCAGAGACACGCCCACCTAAACGGTGATTGGACGCTCAAATTGAAGCCACGCCCCCTGAATCCAGCCCGTCTCCAACTTTTCCCAGAGAGCTGGAATGAAATCCTGCAGAGAAACAGAGAAATTCCCCGTTTTTTCCTCCTGAATCCGGATTTTCTCGG